CAAGACCTGTTGTGGAGGTACAAGATCCCAACAATGAATGTAACTGTACTGTATCCCTGAAATGTACCAATAAACTCAATTAAAGCTGAAAAAAAAAAAAAACATGCTGTACCGTTACGCCCATTCTATTAACGCGCCAATAAACGGCCCCTCGGGGAAACGTTAGACTTTCCTGAGGCGATGCACCCCGGACCCTGGGGGCTGTTACCGTGCTGAACGACTCGCTCGGCCGAAGAGCTGTGGCTGAGCACGTGAGGCAGGGCCCAGGAGGAGCATCAGGCTGCGCTGCGATGTCTGCTGCGTTCTCCACGACGCGCTTCCCTCTGGCTTCCGAAATGCAGAGCGAGCAGGCGGCCAAGGGGCCCAGCGTGGGTGAAGACAGTATTTTCCCAGAAGTAAAGAAGCAAGTCTTTCAGTCTCTAAGGTTCATTCACGTTTTCAAGTTCACTAACCATAAAAATCCCAATTTTTGAAAATGAGGCAGCCCTAGCATGAGCGTCTAAGGAAGACCCCTCAGCGGACCCACAGGGCTCCGGCTCCCCGCCGGGTCGGGTCTGTGCGATCCGCGAGGCTCTTGTCAAACAGTGCAGCCCTCCGTGAGGGTTTAACAGTGCTGCCTAACAGGTCGGCAGGCTGGGTCCTTTTGCTAAACTGGACTGATGGGAAATACAGGAAAGACGCATGAGGGAGACTATGTCAGTTCACCAGGCTGATTCTTGTAAAACTAGACTTTTTTGGCCAAAAAAATAATAATAATATTCAACCTCCTGGAGATGCCACACACAAACAAATGAGACCCATTTTGATGCTTTTATTAAATAGCAACTATTTAAGGTCTCCCTTGTTCTCTACCCTCTGAAGTTTCTAAATCCGTTTAAAGTCTTTCCGTGAGATCTCTCCGGGGACTGAGAGAGGATACGCACATCCTGATAGGCAGCACTACCGGTAAGGCCAAAACGTGGCCGCTTCTTTCCTTGGAAATGGATTGATCACACAAGTGGTGGAGGCCGCGCTGCTTGTTTGTAGGCCTCTAGAATGGCGTTTGGCGTTTGTCACCTCTCCGCTCCATACCACTAAGGGCAGGGTGAGAAAAGAACTCAAAGGTCTCCAAGTAGAAGAAAAGTGCGCTGACCCCGGACTGAACACTGCGGGCTCCCTCGATGTCCAGGGTCCCTCTGAGTCCAGGGCCCTGCGTGGGGCCGACTCCAGACTTCAGGCCTGGGAGCTCCGCCGGAGACCTTTGCGCAAACTGGGCGTCCAGAGGTCCCTGGAGGGCCGCAGCCTGGGCTGCAGGCGCAGTCGCGGTTTCCTGTGCAAGCCCACGAGAGCCCAGCCGGGACCCTGGACAGCGGGGCGCCGACGAAGCTTCTCCTCTCCGTGAAGGGAACCTGCTCCCTGTGGAGACTCCCGGGCCCCACTCGTCCCGCGTTTCTGCAGCTCGATGTCTCATCTGGGTCGCGCGGAGCATGGGGAACGGCTGGGAGGGCAGGGAGGCCTTCACCACGCGTGGCAGCTGGTCCTGCGTGCTCACGACCTGCGCGGGCCCAAGGGCCACGGGGCTGCACTGGCCTGGG